CAAGTTTTGTGCAAAAACGCATGATCGCTCCGGCTCGCCTGGTGCGTTCCAGCCTACGTTAATTAGGAGATAGAATGGAATCTGCATTATCATCATCATCGTCATCACCATCACTACAACCACCACCTTTTCCGCATAATCATCATCATCATCATCGTCATCCTCGTCATCATCATTATCACTCTATCATCATCGATATTATCGCCATTACTCCGCTACATCATTGTCAGGCAGGAGAAAGGCAGCGACCGCTTGTGTTCCGATGTTAGGCGGAGAAATGGAATGAAATTTGATGTTGTATTTTGGTACTTTACCAGCTGTTGTTTCATCATCGCATTTCTTTCCGGTCAGCGATGCACCTCTTCCATTCCTCTTTACTGTGAGCCTCTTAACGTACGGAGGGTGAGGCAAATCTTCCCACAGCGCTGGCTTCTCTGCTTACTAAGACTGGTAGCCGTTCAGCAGGTCGCTCTGTCCATCTGTTGCCTCTCATTCTTGTTACGTGACTTGTCTCTATATTATCATTGTTTGTTGTAATAAATAATTATAGAAATCCACAAATACTAATTTTATAGAAAATAGAAAGGATAAAAATAATTATGAGACAATAACAAAAGCAGTAATAGTAATGATAATGATGATAACAACAGTGATAATTATAATGATGAAAACAATGGTAATAATAATACAATAATAATAGGTGTAATTAAAAATAATAATAAAGCTACAGTATCAGGAAATGCGATGTCATGTACTTTCCAAAAACATGTTTAAGTATGACTAATTAATTCAGGGAAAATGAAACATGTTTTGAAAAGGCAGTTTGTATGGCGGTTTCTTGGTGTTTTTGACTCTTTTATTCAAATCTCTGCCGCTGCCCCTGTAGGCTATTTCTGGGTTTTGTAGTATTTGAATTAATTTTGCATGCTCAATTTTGCACAGATCAATTGACACGTGTTTGTGAGCCTGTGATGATGCCAGATAACACTGTTCTCTGGTCTCAGTCGATTTTTATTCGGTTCTACCACTGGCAAAACCAGTCCCTTTGCAGATTTTTCTTTTTCTTTTTGTTCATTTATTTTAATGGTAAACTGGTATTGGGGCACATATCTGTGAGTCAAAAACACTCTGGACTTTTCAGCGAGGGAGGTATCGACAACTTTACAAGCGGGTAATTGAAATTGGCAATGTGTTACCACTCGTGGTATTTCTGTTTTATCCGGTTTTTCATGTAGAATGAGTTATAAGGAATCTTTGTTCTGGATAGGACTGTTTCATTCAAAGTGCGATGGTATCCTGCTCAAGATTCATCCGATAATCTTAGACATTTCGTAATTCTTGCTGGCAGAATGCTACCATTTCTGCTTCCGGACCTTGGAGAAGTGGAATATGTGGGAGACAATTTCGAGTTTACATCATTCAGTTCCTAGGAACAGAATCTTTTGCAGAATCTGATGATCTTAGTAGACTTGGGCGTTCCAGAATCCCTGCTGGACTAGCCGACTATTTTTATGCGTTTTATGCTGCGGCAGTTGCACAAAACGGATATTGTCGAAACCCTATCTGTGTTTGTGTTTATGTATGTGTCTGTGTATGTCCGTGTGTGCGTGTGTATGTGTGTGTGTTCCGAGCGCACTTTGTGTGTTTTTGTCAGAATTCGAAATATTTCGCCAAGAATTAGCATTTCTTTTGATTTCAGGGAATCGCTATCAGTGATAATGCAAGCAGCAATGGGTGGTATGGGCTCGCTTGCGGGCTATAGTTTCACTCAGCTAACGCCAGCACAACCTTCGTACAATACAGCTCCGTCGCATCCCCAACAGCAGCAGCAGCAGCCAGGTGTACCGTCCACAAGCGCAGCGCTTCCTCTGCCCGGTGATATTTCCATGAAAGGCGATATTCCAGGTTTATTCACACAGCCATTAATATTTAAAGCAGATTTTTGAGATTTCCAGGATTTAGTTTTCGGGATCTCCGAGTGTTTTTCACATGCTAGAATTTAAAACACCAGATTCATAGTTTTTAATTATTTCCAACTTTTTGTAATAATAATTGAGTAAGGATGTGGCTATCGCAGAAAACCCGCGAAAAACCAGCCAAGAAGCCGCTACAAAGAAAAAAAGAAGGCAGATACGCAGTAGATGTGCTGCTAGGCTGGACCTGGACTGCAAGGGCTGGTGGTGTAGTGGCAAAACATTGCGTCCGGACGTGAGGAGAAGTGGTTCGATTCTCTCCCGTTCCAGAACAGTTTTCGAGAAAGGTCTCCGTTCACGACAGTGACAGCGTGACTGGAAAATTTCTTGTTCATTGCCTAACAGTAGTGCATGTGGCTCCACTGTTTATCAGTGTTAAGAAAATAATGAGGGTTTTGTTTAGGTTTTACGTTTACCCAAGGGGATTGAGACCATCTAGAAATGCAAACGCAGTGAGCCGTTCCTTTGTTTTTTATTTGCTGCCCATCGGGGTAAAAGTCCGGAAAAGGGGGGAAGGGGTGGGGAGCATGGCGAAGCAAAAGGTGGATTTGACTGAAATTTCTTATAAATCGAAAGAGGAAAGAAGAAGCAAAATGTGATCAAAGAAGAGTCACTGGATTTGGGTTTTCATTTCTTTATATTTAGGGTGCAGCTCGGTCGCATCTATCCACTCAGACAGTATCAGAGATGCATCCTCTACTTATGATGCGTATGGGACCAGCGAAAGTAATCCTGAAATGGAACCGTGCGTTTCTTCGTTACGATCGAGCGTCAGCCCACGAAGCCAAGAAGAACATGTGATCATGGCACCTTTGTATGTTCTCCCGCTCTTCACCCTTTTTTAATTATGCGGTTTTCACAAAGTACATATACTAGAGGAGTGTGCAGTCTGTGTGTGTGTGTGCGTGCACGCATGCGCGCTTTTGTGCTTGGATGTATTTGTGCTTGAATGTGTGTTCGCGTATGAGTGCGTGTGTACGCGCGTGTGTGCACATGTGTATGTGTGCACGCGTGTGTACACGCCTGTGTGTGTGTTCGTGTCTGCGTGAGGGCGTGCATCCATGTGTGCACTTTTGTTCTACAGGAACCAGTGCTGCAAAAGTCCGGGTCATAACTAAAACTGAAGTAATTCTAAGTAGCAGTGTTGTAATTCCATTCCTAGTTATGCGTTTCTGCTGTGCAGCGCTAGACCGTTACAACAGGCAGCAAAAACGCATATTGCAATGACTCTCTCAGTGTGTGTGTGTGTGTGTGTGCGTGTGTGTGTGTGTGTGTGTCCGGATATCTCAACTCGCCAACCA